ATATATATATATATATATATGGATATAATTAATGAAAAATGCGATAAATTAATTGATTTTGGAGGCATCAAGGATTTCTTCGATTCAATTACTGTCGGATCCATAAAATTGAAATAATCGAACTAATAGATCTTATGTAAAAAATTAAATGGATAATATTGTTAAGATATGACCATACCATGAGTTAATTCATAAATTAATTGATTTAAATAAGTTAAACCAACCCATTTAAAGTATGGTTGGGTTTGGGTTGACATAATTTATTAATTTATACGTTGGGTTTAAATGGGTTAAGATATTCCGTTTTTGACGTCAGCATCGGAGAAATAGTCCAACAAAAATACGGTGTATTCACACTTATTAATATCCACAACGCAACAAAATTGACTATTCTTTTTTGCTTTTTTGGCAAAAATAAAAAAATTAAAAAAAATAAAGCCAACGGGAAAATTTTGGTTCTTGGTCTTGCGATGACACTCGCATTCGTCTCAAGACCAATTTAATTTATTTTTTTATTTATATATTTTCACGAAATTCAATGGGTTTCCACAATTTTTTAAATTAGTTGCGTGTGATAGTGGTTGGGTAAACCATAAAAATACTTAAAACTTTTAAAATGGTAAAACTAAATTTCTAAATTTTTTATTTAACAAATATATTCTTGTGTCATTATAATTTTTAAATTTATTAATTGGTGTTAGAATAAAACTCTACTATATTGATTCAAAAATCAATTTGAGAATTATGATGTCATATTTTATAAATTTGAAAATTATAATAACACATTTTATAAAATTTAAAATTTAGAAAAATCTGCATGCATTTGGACGATTGCAATGCCATTGTTACAGCAAAGGAATATAAAATATAAAAACAATATAAAACAAATGACTTAAAAATGAGATAAGACAAAAGTGAATATGAAAAATTATTACGCGGACAATGTCTAATGTTTCTGTTGGGTGGCACCCATTTCAATCTTGGAAATACAATAGTTTGTTGGTATCTCTCTCTCTCTCTCTCTCTATATATATATATATATATATATGAACGGATATAATTAATGAAAAAATCGTAAAAGCAAAAAGAATACAACATGCAGAAAAGATCATTTTGGAGGCATCATGGCTTTTAATTCAATTTATGTGGAATCCATCAGAACAAATTTTGTAAATAATATATTTGAAAATATATATATGTTTTTCATTTAAAGAATTCTATTTTGTAAATTTAAAAAAAAAATAGTTAACAAAAAGATGGAGATATGCAGTCAATGTTGTGAATTCTTTTTGGGCCGGAGAAGCGGCTAATGCTGTTTGGGCTTAGTTAATGAAGTAATAACTTGGGCCAGTTGGAGCCCAAATATCTGATCCAAACAGAGCAAAGAAAAGAGCACGAACGGACGTCAAACGGTAAATCAAATATCGACGGACTCCAAACGGAAGTTTTGCAACTTTCCGTTCAGTTCCGCCAATCAAAATCCTTTATCTCAATCTCCTCCTCGGGGGTTTTATTTTTCCGTCTTATTCTTTGTTGCTGCCCAGAAATCAGAGGCAGGAGCTACACATAAAGATGAGGAAGCTTGATTTCTGTCGGAATCCGGAAGCTGTTTTCTCCAGGTAACATGGTTCTCGAATTCTCAGCGAACTTGAGTTTAAGAGAGAGAGGTATTGGTGTCAAATTGGGTTGTCTGATTTCTAGGGTTTTGTTTCTGTGTCGAAAGAGTGGAATTGGTTCGTAGACTTAGGAGTTAAGGTTTCTTTTCTGTATCTCCTGCGTAGTTGCTAGAGACGTAGAGGGTAGGGCAGTTAGGGTTTCCCCTTTTTCGCTTTTGTTTCTGACAAGGGGTGATTTCGAGAGATGAAAAAGAGATCGTATCGATTCCCGACCGCCGAACCGCACGAGGACTGGGTGGATGGGTCCTGGACGGTGGATTGTGTGTGTGGTGTGAACTTCGATGATGGAGAGGAGATGGTGAATTGTGATGAGTGTGGGGTTTGGGTGCACACGCGGTGCTCAAGGTATGTTAAGGGAGAAGAGCTGTTTACTTGTGACAAGTGCAAGAGCAAGAACAATGTTAACGACAGTGAGGAGACAGAAGTAGCTCAGTTATTGGTTGAATTGCCCACTAAAACTTTTAGAATGGAGAATTCATATGGTCGGAGTGGACCGCTGAGGCGCCCTTTTAGGCTTTGGACAGAGATTCCAATGGAAGAAAGGGTCCACGTACAAGGAATTCCTGGTGGCGATCCAACTCTCTTTGAAGGATTATCATCGATTTTCTCACGGGAGCTTTGGAAGTGTACTGGGTATGTCCCAAAGAAGTTTAACTTTAAGTATAACGATTTTCCCTGCTGGGACAAGAAGGAAAAGGATGAAGCCGAAAATGAATGTGAAATTGGGCATCAAGCTGAAAATGGTGCTGGAGTTCTGTTTTCTATGTCAAAGGAAAATGCTGTGGTTGCTCCTGCCAGTGCTTTGGTTGGCATGAGGAGCCTAGGGAATAAGGAAACCGATAGCTTGAAGCTCGGTGTGAAAGACACCAAACAATGGGACTCTGGGGTAGTTGACACAAAACATTCTCAGAACGCCATAAAGAAGGAGAAGAGCTTGCTTCATCCTTTGCTTACGAATAAACGGAGAAAAGAACTGTTGGGAGCCTCAAAAGATCGAAAGAAGAAGGTGGTTAAACTTACATACAAGGAGGCAGAGGAGAAGAAATGTTTTGTGCATAAAACAGGTTAGTTGGACCACGTTCTACAAGAATCTCTTTAGGCACCTCACATTTAGCGTTGTTATTTATGCATATTATTGATACAATGGTTTTCTTCTTTCTTTCTTTCTTTCTTTCGTATCTCTAGAATTTCAACCTACCATTGATTCTAAGCCATCGGAATCTTGGAAGGACAGAGATCCAGAAGGTTTTGTTAGTGATGTTGGAAGCAGAAAGAGCGAGAAGTCCAAAGAAAATGTTCCGGAAGATGCTAGTGACTGTGATCTTGTGATGAATAATGGTGGTGATGAAACCAGCAATACAGCAGTTGCTGTTGAATGCTTCAGGGAACTGCAGCTTTCTAATGCTCATGAGCATTGTGCTGGAAAACAGGATGATAGAGGTGGACATCATGTCCGCATTGTGTTAAAGACCTCTGCAACTAACGATCCTTCATCCCTGGAGGGAAAAAATGCTGTGCACAATCAAGCTAAGGAAGAGGTATGTATGGCTTAGATTTATACGAATTTAAGTTTGACTTTAAATTCTTTCCTGTGGCTGTGCTTGGTGTTTTCGTTATTTTTACTCATTCGGATTGTAAATAAATGTGTTGAGGAAAAAGGTACCTAATTTTGAGTTGCATTGCTAATTCATAAAATATATCGATTATCGAAATAAAACCCGGCACCTTAATAAGGAACCATAATCAGTGAGGTCTTTAGTTTATCAATTAAAAAATGATTTTTTTAACTGAACCACTGTTTTGATTAACATGAGCTAGTTTATTTTGGAGAATTGGTTCCTTTCAAAACTTCGTTTTTGAGAATATTATGCTTGCTTTAGATAACACTCAGGAAGCATCTCATGGCTGGTTTCCGCTGTAACAAGATGACTTGCTTATATTACAGAAACAGAGTACAATTGCTGATACTTCAGAAGATAATTCAGAAGGTTCACCACGAAGTTCTGTGAAACCTTCTGCCGGTTGTATGGTTGGTACAGCGCCAGAGGTTGAGGGTAAAAAGTTACATGAAGTTTGTGGTTCAATTAGCCATAGAAAGAACAACTTACAAAAAGAGATGGATACTGCTGGTGGAGCTGTAGATCAACAAGCTCTTGGCTGCGTCGATTCTAAGGGTGGAGGAGGAACCTCTACATCTCAAATCCCTGGAGGTTCTGAATTCAACAAAAAGGAACCAAGCAGTTCACTTACTGATGATCGCAATACGCAATATCTTGATAGGGCATCAGAAAGAGTAAGTTGTAACAATGCAAACAAAGCTGATGAATTATCAATTCATCCCTCGCAAGCTAAACGAGAAGTTGTGGGTTCAGAAGGAGCTGTGATAGCACAGAAAGATGATACTTTGGAGTCCAAACCTGAAGCTTTTTTACTTCAAGAGCCATTGAAGTCTTGCAAACCACCTGTCCCCAGCACTGCTTCAGGAAATAGCAGGCCCAAGGTGGTGGTATGCATTGGAAAATCATCTTCTTCGGTATCCATGGAAAATTCTTCTGGTTTTGACAACCCCAAGCACACAGCTTTGGAGAATTCTATTCCTGGCTCAAAGCAGCAAGCAAGTGATGGACACGCTAGTGGTGAGAGAGGCCGTGCTTCCGTTGATGTGGTCAGAGAGAGAGACAGGGATGACTCTTCAGGGAAATCCTTAAAAGAGCATCCAAAATACTCCACCTCTTCGAAATCAGTGCAACAAGGCCGAGCCCCCCATTCTTCAGTTTCCAAGAGGAATGTTCCAGATTCAACTGCTGCTTCATCTTCTTCAAAGGTATCTTCAGCCCAGAAGAACAGTGTTTCTGCTGAAGTTACTGGTTCGCTTCTGAACCAGTACTCTTCACAATTGCAGAATAAGCAGTCATCGTCAAGGATTTCCCAGAAAGGTGAAAAGCCTGATCAGCCGATTTTCCGGTCCTCATCTAAGAATCCTGCAACACATTCTATGCCTCCAAATTCTAAAGCACCTCTGAGTGATGAAGAGGTAAGATATCTCCTTTTTTCTTGGCCTATTTTTTGCCCCTATTAACATGCTGATATCTTTTCTTTCTGTCCCCCCCCCTGTCATGGTCAGCTCGCTCTATTGTTGCACCAAGAACTCAACAGTTCTACTAGAGTCCCTCGTGTCCCACGTATGCGACAGTCTGGGAGCTTGCCTCAGTTAGCATCTCCAGCTGCTACAAGTATGTCGATTAAGCGCACTTCTAGTTCTGGTAGCAAGGATCATGGATCGGTATGTTTCATTCATCCTCTGTTACCTTTTAGCTGATTCTCTTTTCCTTCCCTGCCCTTTCAGCATTTCGAGTTTTCTATTTCTCTCGTAGACTCAGTTTCTGGGCTGATATGCTATTGCTTTGGTAGTTTTCCAGAAGAAAAAACAAGGACATGTCCAAAGATGGTTTCCGCACTTCTCGTGATGTTGATGACAGAGGTATGAAGGGTACAAAGTTGCAGTACTCACCTGATAGCAAGGTTCGAGATAGTGGAAACAGAGGGAGTTATACGAAAGGGGAAGAATACTCGACTCGTAAAATACGTCTTCCCCCTTCCTCCACAACGAGCACGAGCAGTGGACCATGTTCCTCCAATGAGTTAAATGAACATAGTATGCCTTCTCCACATAGTTCCCCAAGGACTACATCAGAAGGTGGTCCAGTTCATCGGACTTTGCCAGGTATCTGCTTTTTTCTAAGCAAACATGGGATTTTTGCATGTCTGGAAGTATTTGCTAGTTTTCTCATCTGTCAAAGGAATTAACAGGTTTAATCAATGAAATCATGAGCAAAGGCAAGAGAATGACATATGAGGAACTCTGTAACGCTGTCCTGCCGGTATGCTTCCGCACCAAGTTATCTGTTTTTTTTTTCTAGTTGTCAAATTCATGTTGTATTGAAAACTTCCTTGTTACTTTGATTACAGTACCATTGTTCTTAATGCCTTTGCTACTGTTTCTTTTTGCAGCACTGGCCACACTTGAGAAAGCACAACGGGGAGCGCTATGCTTATTCAAGCCATTCCCAGGCTGTTCTGGATTGCCTGAGGAATCGGCATGAATGGGCTCGGCTTGTTGATCGCGGTCCCAAGGTATTTTCATACTCCCACTATTCTACGCCCTCGTGGGCACATTTCCAACTGGCTGGTCCTAGCCACTTGTCACACGACTCACCTTTCATCTGCTGTTTCAAACATTTAATGTCCTCAAAACCACGTTCTGCAATGTTCAGACAAATTCAAATAGAAAGAAACAGAAGACTGATGCAGAGGAGTCCGATGAGAACAAAACGAGCGAGGGGCAGGAGACGATAGAGGGCGGAGCAGGGAAGCGACTTCGTAACTCAAAAGGAGAAGACTTTCCAAAAGGGAAGCGGAAAGCGAGAAAAAGGAGAAGGTTGGCATTACAGGGAAAAGACATAAAAGAGTTGAGAAAGAAGAGAAACGAGGAGATGAGGGAGGAAGGGGATGAGGAGGAGGAGGAGGAGGAGGAGGAGGAGGGTGCGTTCTCAGATTCAAGCGAAGAGAGTGTTTTCAGTGAAGAAGACGAAAGGGAGCCAGGCGGCAACACTGCTCGCGGAGAAGCTTCTTGTAGCTCTGAGGGTACTGAAACTACATCCTGAGCTCTCTCGCTCTCTCTAGGTTCAGTCTCTCTCTCTGTCTCTCTCGGTATTTATCCCTTTTTTGGCTGTGTATATGGCAAAAGCCTCTTTTGCAATCAGATCAGAGTGGCTTTTGCATTAGGAAAACAGTACCTCAGCTTACCTCACCTTTCTGTTGCTGTTTTTTTTTCCTTTTTTTGGGTAGTCAGAGGATGTAGAACCTTTAGGGGTAGATATACATATACATATATATATATGTGTGTGTGTGTGTGTGTGTGTATGAATTTAGGAAGATGAAGTGATTATGGATAGGGACGAGTAAGTGAAATGTGAATGTGTTATATGAGGTTTAGTTTTTAAACTTCTGTATGATGATGATGATGATGCAGGTCTCTTGCCCCGTCTGAGTATGTGTTGTAACCCTTCCCAATTATGTTTTATTGTTTATATATATATATAATATATGTGTGTGTGTGTGTGTGTTTTAAGTTTAAGATGATATTGTACGGAAGAAAAAAGAATGTTACGTATTCTTTGGAGTTGGGAAACAATTCTTCGAATTATGAATCGGTAAAGGATAAAGGTTTTAAAATTTGTAACTCCTGCTCGTGGATTGTAATTTTTGGTTTTTGTTCAATTGAGTGTTTTTTTTCAAATTTATTTAAAACTTCAAAATTATATCTATTTAGTTTAATTTGAGTTTTTATTTTTCTATTTGAATTTTGAATTTTATTTTAATAAAAAATTTGTTATAACAAATTTAATTTTCAAATAATTCTATAATTGATTCGAATTTAAGTAATTAATTTAATAAAAAAAATTATGTAATAATTTTAAATCTTGGTGTATATTTATGCTCATCTACAACAGGTAAGTTGTGGAGGCAACAGAAAACACACGCTATAGAAAATTTACAAAATATTTCCTTATGGGTCTTTATAATCTTATCTTAATGAAACACATAATGTTTCTTATTTATTGGTGGAAATCTCAACCGAAAAATAAGGAAAAGAAAGACAAGTGGGGATTGGAGAGGGAAACCACAATACCTCTCTTTCTTTTTAAGGTAATGCATTTTTTTTTAATTGAAGAAAATGCTGTAATAGTTTTTTTAGATTCTGCAAAATATTTTAATAATTATTCAATTTTCTTTCCAAGTTTTCAGAACGAAAATTACAACTAAAAAACGACGTATTCAGACATTTTTTTATTAAATTAAATTAATTATCAAGTGAGATTGTGTTAATACATGTTACCATATATTTATTAAATTTGTAAAGAGCAAAAGAGAAACAAATACAAACCTCAAACTCTGAGAAGAGCATTGCGTGTCACACGAAATCCACAGACTTACAAAAGCTGTTAAGGTTGTAATGAAAATGGGCAGAGAAATTCGTCTTCCAAATATATTCATAATGCATATGATTTATTTTATATGCATATATACCCAAAATGATTGAAAATGGTGCCTGGGATTGGCCGTTGATTGGAGGCGATCACAGGTCATAAAGGAGATCGTGATTCCACCAAAAGATTCTCTCCTTACATATGTCGAATTCTCTCCTCGGCTGTCCGACCCCTCTGTGTTTTTCTCCTCCAATCTAGGGTTCCTCCGAATATCCCTTTTTCTCTTTCTTTGTTTGATTTTTTTTTTGTCGCATTTTGTTGCTTTGACAGAGGAAAAAGCGTTCTCTCGAATTTTCTGGACTTGGGGTTCTCTCAATTTCTCGCCTTTTCTCCGCTGCATCCAATCCTCCTGTATGTTCAACCACTCATTCTTCTGTTCTCGTTGAATCTCCAGAGGTTCCGTTTGAAATCTCGAATCATGATATCGTGATCGATGTTTTTCTCTTTCTGGGTACGTCGGATCTTGACCCTTTTTCGTCGTTGATCGCTTTTCCAGTGTGATTCGCCGACGATGACGATTCCTGATTCTGGATTCATGATGGACAACGGAGTGTGTGATTTGCCGTGCACTCCCGAGGAGGAGAGACGTATCGTGACGGAGCTTACGAGCGAATCGGAGGCCAATTTGAAGGAGGGAAACTTGTATTTCGTGATCTCCAACAGGTCTGCTACTTCGGGTTTCTCTAGCAATGTGATCTTGTTGGCCGATGCCATATAATCCTTGGAAGTTGAAGGATTTGTACTTTTGCTCGATTTTACTTAAAGCATTTAGTGGGTTCATAATCTGGGCAGGATCATGCATGATAATTTGTTCCCTGTTTCTACTGGTATTTGACGACATGGGGATCTTAGCTTCCTTCATGAGCAGTGTTTAATCCTCAGATGCTAGTTCTTGTGCTAATTTCCTCGAGGTATTAGGTCATGCGTTATCAGTTCAAGAAAATCTTTTTGGTTTATGGCTGTGGACCAAACAAGATTTACTTGGATCATGGATTATTATACACTCTGTTTATGAAGAGAATGTTTGTGTTTCTCCTTCCTTCTTGTTGCCCATCCTATATACCCTCACCCACTTTTAGTTGTGTTTTAATATCTCTCTGTCAGTGCAGGTGGTACACTAGCTGGCAGAGATATGTTGGGCAACTGACCGATGAATGTTCTAGTGGAGAGCCTTCGGAGGTTACAAGGCCTGGACCAATTGACAATTTCGACATTATTGAAAGTGAAAGTGACACTAGTGATCCACAGCTTAGTAGGATGTTGGAGGAAGGGGTAGATTACGTCCTAGTTCCTCAAGAAGTTTGGAAAAGACTTGTGGAATGGTGATTTTTTTTGTCTGCACTCAACACTCTACAGTTTGTTATTGGGAAATCATAAGTTAGATAACTACTTCGGTTTTATCCTCGTGCTGTCTCTGCGCGTGAAACTAACATGGTGGAGGTCATTAAGGCTTCAGAACACTAATTTATAATCTTTGCTTATTTTCTCGCTCTTCTATAGCATCTGTGCTTTACTTAATCAGATTCTATATTATTATTCAGGTATAAAGGAGGCCCTCCAATACCAAGAAAACTGATCTGTCAAGGGTTTTATAGTAAGACTTATAGTGTAGAGGTTTACCCACTCTCTCTTACACTGACTGATGGAAGAGACGGAAGTAACAGTGTCATACGGTTAAGCAAACAGGTATATATATATATATCTCCTCTAATTCTACACTTATTCTTGTTCGTCGTTGTACTAGCAAACCTTAAACCACCTCTGGGTCTGCTGTCCAGAGCCAAATGCTGTCTTTATTTTAACTATTACCCCATTTCTGTTCCACTCTTATATGGACTGTTGATGTGCCAGGCTTTTGTAAGTGACCTTTATTTGAAGGTGTGTGCTCTTAAAGGGGTAGCACAAGAAAAGGTATGTGCACGAACTTTTTCACCTTTTTGTTTCGTTGCTGATGAGATATCCGATTGTTTAACTAAGAGATTTGTCATTTGCTTCATTCGTATATGTAAAATCAGGCTCGAATCTGGGACTACTTCAATATGCAGAAAAGCGTACTCTTGGAGCAGTCATCTTATAAAACCCTGGAGGGATCAAACCTTCAAATGGACCAACATGTGAGTATCTAGAAATAGGATCTTTTACATGACAGCTTTGGGTGAGCGCGGTTTATTCTATGGTTACTCGTTACTTTTGGGATAGCTTGCTTCTTGTGGTTCAAGCCAGGTTCCCTTAGTAGAATCTCTCTTCACACATATATGATTGAGATGGATTCTTTGGAATTGGATACATTCTTCCTGATGTTCGTAAATGTTTTCTTCTCAATATTTTGTTCTTCAATTTCCCCATTTTTGAGTTTTTGTATGGTTATACTGAACAAAACCATATTTCTATTTGCTTCCATTTTATATTTTTTTATTTGTTTACAGAATTATTCTTTCCTTTCCATGCAGATTCTTTTGGAAGTTGATGAGCCCTCTTCTTCTCAATATAGCATGGGCGTGAAGGGAAATGAGCTAGCTCTGGTACCTCTTGAACCTTCAAGGTCGACTGTTACGATTGCTGGGGGCCCTACCTTATCCAATGGCCACTCCAATAGCTCCAAGTTTAGTCTCTTTCGGAAAAGTACATCTGAAGATGATGGCTGCAATTCATATGGTGCTCTCGGAAAAGGAGAGAGGGGGGGTCTAGCCGGACTCCAGAATTTGGGAAATACTTGTTTCATGAATAGTGCTATTCAGTGTTTGGCCCACACACCCCCCATTGTCGAATATTTCTTGCAAGATTACAGTGATGACATAAATGCAGAGAATCCTTTGGGAATGTGTGTAAGTACTTCATGGATTTCATCTTGTTTGGCATTCCCTATGTGAAAATGTTCACATGCAGGTCTAAATGTAATTTCTAACACTTAGCTATTCAGGGTGAGCTTGCTCTCGCATTTGGTGAGTTGTTGAGGAAATTGTGGTCATCTGGACGTAATGCAGTTGCACCACGCGCTTTTAAGACAAAACTTGCTCGATTTGCTCCACAGTTTAGTGGATATAATCAGCATGATTCTCAAGTAAGTCATTTGCTCAAACTCGGTTTATGGTGTTTGTTTCTCCGAGATAGATGGCAGTTTTGTCGGTCTTGACCTTATTCTTGGACACTAGAAACTATATCTTTTTTCCCGGTAATTTTATTTTATATGATTTGATCTGTATCAGGAACTGCTTGCTTTCCTATTGGATGGGCTGCATGAAGATTTGAACAAGGTAAAACGAAAACCTTACATTGAGGTTAAAGATTCAGACGGTCGTCCAGATGAAGAAGTTGCGGAAGAGTGTTGGAACTATCACAAGGCTCGAAATGATTCTGTGATAGTTGATGTCTGCCAAGTGAGGACTGTTCCTACAGCTTTGACTTTCCTTTCCCCTTGAAATTTTAATTCGTTCGAGTTTTTCTTTCTGAGTATTAGAAGACCCTGTTTTTTCATTTCCTTTTGTGACACTTATGTTGTACAAATTTTCGTTCAGGGACAATACAAGTCAACACTGGTTTGCCCAGTCTGTGGAAAAATCTCAATCACCTTTGACCCCTTTATGTACCTGTCACTGCCGTTGCCCTCAACTGTTACTCGATCAATGACAGTTACAGTGTTTTACGGTGATGGAAGTCGCCTGCCAATGCCATACACTGTAACAGTTCCTAAGCACGGTTCTTGTAGAGATCTCAACATTGCATTGGGAACTGTATGCTGCTTAAACAGTGATGAGACCCTTCTACTTGCAGAGGTATAACTTTTAAGCCCGACCCTCTTCTTATATTATCATTGTGGTTCTTTTCTGTTACAAAGTATTAACTAAAGCCGGTGATTTTCTTCCCAGGTCTATGATCACAAGATCTTTAGATATTTTGAGAATCCCGTGGAGTCACTGAGTGTAATAAAAGATGATGAGCATATTGTGGCGTATCGGTTTAACCAGAGACAAAAAGGGTTGGGAAAAGCCAAACTTGAAATCCTTCACAGAAGGCAGGAAAGGTTGGTGTGCTTGTTGTAATCATTCTTCCTCTTCTTCTTGAGTTGGGTTTCCATGAATTACAACTTCCACGTTTTGCAGGTCTGTTTTGGTGGAGAGCGTTAGAGGCGGAGACATTAAGCTTTTCGGCACTCCTCTTGTCACTTATATCAATGCAGAACCACTAACTGGAACTGACATTGACTCAATTATCTCTAGATTGCTGTCACCTTTACAACGGGTTCATGCGGTATCTAAGGTTCAGAATGGAAAAGAAAACGGCCATCTTTCTGAAGCTGCTGATGAATCATCAGGAAGCGTTTCATCTACAGATACTGAGCTGGAGGATGCACCTGACAGAGAGCTATCCCTCAGAGTATTTTGGACAGACGAACGCGGTTTGAACGTCAAGCCGCTTCAGTCTGACTCTGTTGTGAATCCCGGAAGTGTTACAAGAATTTTGGTCGAATGGAATGAGAACGAGCATGAAAAATACGACGGCAGCTACTTAAATGACTTGCCTGAGGTCCACAAAACAAGTTTCTCCGCAAAGAAGACAAGACAAGAAGCTATATCTTTGTTTTCGTGCATGGAGGCCTTTTTAGCAGAGGAGCCTCTGGGCCCAGATGATATGTGGTATGTCACCGGTAACTAGAATTCGTGACTCTATCAGCTAAACTATGTAATCAAGGTCTGAGCTTTGACAACTTTCTTATTGTTCCGAACCAGGTATTGCCCACATTGCAAGGAGCATAGACAAGCCAACAAAAAGCTAGACTTGTGGAAGTTGCCCGATATTATTGTGTTCCACCTGAAACGATTCACATATAGCAGATATCTGAAGAATAAGATTGATACATTCGTCAATTTCCCAATTCATGATCTAGACTTGAGCAAGTATGTGAAAAACAAGGATGGCCGGTCATACGTTTATGAGCTGTATGCTGTAAGCAATCATTATGGTGGCCTAGGCGGTGGTCATTACACTGCCTATGCTAAGGTTAATGTCTTGGCTTGATCTCTCTTCATATTTGTCTTACCTTTGCTCTCACCATCGGAATAGCTTTAGTGGGTCGGTTATGTACTTATATTTTGATTACATTTGTGCAAACGTAGTTGTCTCCACAATCATCTCCATAATCCTCAATAACATACTAGTTCACTCAAGTGTCCGCTTTTCTACATTTGTGCATGTATGCATCATCATCATCATCGAAAAATAGAGTAGTCACTCAAATTATCCACCTCTGTCGTGACATTTTGTGCATGAGCTGTTGTCGTCATAAACATTTCGATTATCAATTTGATTTTTTGTTACTGTGGATGCATAATCATTGCTTGTCTGTTCCTGCAGTTGATTGATGACAACAGATGGTACCATTTCGACGACAGTCATGTTTCTCCCGTAAGTGAATCTGAAATCAAGACCTCGGCTGCATACGTTTTGTTCTACCGAAGAGCGAGAGACAGATCAGGGGCTGACTTGGATTAGACGAAGGAATCTTTATTTCCACAATGGCCAAAAACAAGTTCGATGCTCTGTTCAAGATTCATCATTGGTCTGGTGCAAAGTTCGTCGCTTTGTTCAAGATTCATCGGTCTCGCCCATATCAGGTGATGACCCTCTACTGTTCTTTCTATGTCAAGCCAATCCCCATAGTATATCTTTGTGGAGGGCTAAACCCTGAAACTATATATGCGTGGGGGTATCATTGGGCAAAAAAGGTGGGTTTAGCTTATGAGATTTGTTTATTTAGGGATTTTTCACAATAGAGGTGGAAATTTTTTGGGGGGCAGTGGTGAAAATTGCAAAGTAGTTTAGAGATGGGAGAATAGTTGATGTGTTTGTTGTTTTCTTTTTAATTTTTGTGATTGTGCAATATTTCGAACTGTACTAAGCGGATGCAGATGTTGTTCGGAGAGAGTTTGTCTTGGAACAAGTTTTAGTTCATTAAGAACTCAAACGGCTAATCAATACAAAAAAGATTATTATATATATATATATATCAGATGTTCTTCCTCTTCCTGATTTCTTCCAAATTTTTATTTGATAAATTTATTTTCAAATTTTTGAAATGAGTCATAATAGTATATTTTGTAAATTGAAAAATTAAAATAATATATTTTAATTTATGAATTAGTTTTTCACCATATTATAAATTTAGAAATTTTAATGGTTTTTACCTGTATAGATAAGAAGGAAGGGTTCATTTTTTTTATGGCTCATGTTTGTAGTTAATAACATTGAGACGAATCAAAGCGTATGGGCAGACATTAATAAACTAACATGAGTTCTGTTATGAAATGAAATGCATAATTCTATTTAAAACCCAAAAGACCGAACTGATCCTACTTCCTTGGAAGACTGAATCAAAATCACACGCAGGAGAGGCTAGTGCTCTACGTCATGGGCCTTTAATGGATATATGGGCTTACCAGTGTACCAATTGGGCCGTTTTGTAAGCCCATTATGCCCAGTGAGCGGAAGCTCGAAGAGGATAGGATTTTTCTCGGACTTCAATCTATGCGCACAGTCTCTGAGCTCCGTGTTTGTGCATCAATGGCGTCTTCTTCCCTATCGACCTTCTCCAGACCTCAGTCGTCTTCTCTGCTTACCAGAGACATCGCCAATTCTAACTTTTCCCACCCTCTCTCCGCAAATCTATCCTCCAGAACAAATGTTTCCCTCCAGTTTCTGGGCAACAGACAGCCACCACTTCTCTCTTCCACCCCGAGGTTTCTAACTGTCATCGCCATGGCTCCGCCTAAACCCGGAGGCAAACCCAAGAAAGGTACGAGATTTTTGGTACCCATTTCGAAAAATCTCGATCTTTTTCAATCATTTTCGGTTCGGTCGTGTTGTGGGCTAATACGGGTTTGTGGAATTTTTGCAGTTGTCGGGATGATAAAGCTGGCTCTAGAGGCCGGGAAAGCAACTCCGGCGCCGCCGGTGGGCCCGGCGCTTGGTTCGAAGGGAGTGAACATAATGGCGTTTTGTAAGGATTACAATGCAAGAACCGCTGACAAAGCCGGTTATGTCATTCCTGTCGAAATCACCGTCTATGATGTGGGTTTTTCCTGATTCTTTAATCTCAATTTTCTTACTGCAACTAATCTACGACAATTGAGATTTGTTTCCCGGCAAAACCCCCGTCGGAATTTGCCGGAATTTTGACCGGAAACCGGTTCTGTTCTTGTACGCAAACATGATACATGAAGTAATCTTACCAGAATCAACCTAACATACTCAGTTACAGATAACCGATAGATTGGTGCTTGTCTTAATGGACACAAAAGTGGGTAATTCACTGCAAAACATTGCCAGAATTCTGTGCAAAAGCTGCGCGATTGGTAGATTTGGCATCCCAACTTGTAATTTAAAAAAAAAGCAGTTTTTGTGGAATAAGATTTGTTTTAACTGAGCAACACTTCTGGTTTGCAGGATAGAAGCTTCACTTTTATCCTCAAGACCCCTCCTGCTTCGGTTTTGTTGCTTAAAGCTGCAGGTATTCTTTCACTACTCACACAGAAGAAATAAGCAGTACCTTCTGTCTTGTCTTGCCAAAGAGTATCTTTGATCCTAAAATATATGAATTGCTGTTGTAGCCTGTTGGACTGTTCTATCTTGAGGCTCTAGCTTGCATTATGTCTTTGTTTCTGCTAAGCTTATATATAAATGTTGACCCTTTAACATTTAGGTTAGTAGCATCAGGTCTTGGATTCGATAAACTTGGGTTCAATGATATGACATTCTGTGATCTGCAATTTTTTCTCCCTCTTCTCTCTGTTTGAAGTCTTCTAATTCGATAAACTTGGGTTCTGGAAATAGGAGTCGAAAAGGGTTCAAAAGATCCGAAGCAGCAGAAAGTCGGGGAGATAACCATAGACCAGCTACGCACTATTGCAACAGAGAAGCTGCCCGATCTAAACTGCATGACATTGGAATCGGCAATGAGAATCATTGCGGGAACTGCGGCTAACATGGGGATAGACATAGATCCTCCTGTTCTTGAACCCAAAAAGAAAGTAGCTTTGTAAAACAAGCATCCTCCCTCTGTTCTTCTTTAGCTCTACCTCCTGTATTCATTCGAAAATGTAATTTTTCACCTAATTGGATGTTGTACTTAAAAACATTCTTTCACGTAATCCATTATTCGTTGTTTTTCAGATGCCTCAAGGGAGGAAAGTTGCATTCTTGATGCGTGACTTTGGAAGTTTCCGCGTTTTCTTGCTTTTGCAGTTCCCATGAAACATGCAAGAATCGGTTGGTTAAGATCTTGAGAATGGGAAGTAACTAATCAGATTGACTCGGCTGATACGGACGATGAAGAAGAAAACGGAAAACAGCTCGAAATGGGAACTCATTCTACGTTTAATCCATGAACCGAATTTTAGCCATTAAAGGAAAGAGAATCGTCTCTCCTCCTCCTTGTCTCTGTCCTATACAGAGCATCTCCGTGTTATGTCCGAGAGAGTGAAAGAACTTCAAGTAAGATCCTTTCCCGCTGTGTTCTTTTCTTTTCTGGGTTCTTCTCATCTGATATCTTCTAACATGTTTTCTTGATGAATGTTTGATGTGCAGATGGAGAGCCAAATTCAAGAACACGGCCATGTAGTTGATATCTGCAGGAGGGTTTCGACCGTACCGAAAGGCCGGAGAGGGAGCAAGATCTGCGGAGAAGCTCCTTGTGGATTCTCTGATTCCAAAATCCTATCCGAGGATTCCGACGAGCGTTTGGCCTCCATGAAAAAGCTCTCCACTGCAGTTTTACTCTGTCTGATCTTCATGGCCGTCGAAGTTCTTGGAGGTATCAAGGCCAACAGTCTCGCTGTTCTTACAGACGCTGCTCATCTCCTCTCGGACGTCGTTGCATTCGCTATATCGTTGTTCTCCCTGTGGGTTTCCGGATGGGAAGCGAATCCGAGACAGTCTTACGGGTTTTTCAGAATCGAGATTCTCAGTGCCCTCGCTTCGATCCAGTTGATTTGGCTCGTCGTGGGGATCATCGTGTATGAAGCCGTCATGAGGCTCATCCACGAGACAAAAGAAGTTAAGGGTTCTCTCATGTTTGCTGTTTCAGCTTTCGGGTTGTTCGTCAACATTGCCATGGCTGTCTTGCTAGGACATGATCATGGGCACACCCATGGCCATGGCCATGATCATGCCCAGGATAACGAGGACAGCGAAGATGGGCAAGCCGAGATTTTGCTGGATAAATGGTCGGAGGGAGAAGCAAGGAAGAATCAAGAGAGCAAGCGGCATATGAACATAAATGTACAAGGAGCGTATCTTCACGTACTCGGAGATTCAATCCAGAGCGTAGGAGTGATGATTGGTGGTGCAGTTATATGGTACAAACCCGAATGGAAGGTAATAGACCTAATATGCACGCTGTTATTCTCGGCTATGGTGCTGTTGAGTACGATAAGGATTCTCCGGAACATTCTAGAAGTTCTGATGGAGAACACGCCGAGAGAGATCGATTCCACGAGACTTGCAGAGGGAATCTGCAGTATGGGTGAAGTTACTGCGATCCACGAGCTGCACGTTTGGGCAATAACCGTGGGTAAAGTTCTGTTGTCTTGTCATGTTGAGATCATACCCGATGCAGATGCAGACAAGGTTCTTGACAAGATCATAGATTACATCAGGAGAGAGTATAACATTAGCCATGTAACAATTCAGATAGAACGAGAACAGGTTCGTTAAATCTGTTTATTGTCTGATTTCATAATGTTCTGTATTCGGAGTCACGCTTTCTTGTGAAACTCCATAACCGAAAAACAGAAAGCTGAACATGAAACTTGGACATGAGAAAAGCCTGCGGATTTAGCTAAGCTTTCGAACTGTAGTTTTGTTCTTTCTTTTCCTGATGGATTCATGTTGAACAAGAAGAGCTCGAACTGAAACATGCTTCTCTGTTCTGTTCTGTCTTCTTGTGTCATGTCTGGAACCACCATATCTACAACAATCACCTTACCCTTTTGAGGCGGCAACGACTGGTAACAGTTGCGGAGTATGTCTACGCATTGTTCATCGTTCCAAGAATGGAGAATCCACTGTTCCGTTCAAAAACGCAGAAACAGTTAGCCGAACCGTACCGCTAAATCTATGAAGTTTCCTTTCGCGTTTGCGTTTGAACCCAAACTCAAAACGCGAATATGTTATCATTTGCGTCTGCGTTTGATTAGGATCGAAGCTAACCTTCATGAAAACTGCTTCTCCGTCCGGGATGCTTGCAAACATGTCACCAGAAACATGCTCGATGCCTATAACCAGACAAGAGATACTGTCAGATTTTTATAATCCAAGAAAAATGGTGATTCTCATCCGTGTTTTCTTCTGACAATTTTCGTACCTGGATAACTCGGAGCCGAGTTAATAGCTGAGGGCAAATCAAAGTTAATGCCCTTCATGTGAGGATGATTCGAGATGATCATATTGAGAATAGAACCATTTCCACCGCCGACATCCACCAAGGACTTCACGCCATCAAAACCTGTGTACTTTCTGAGAATTTCTTTCATGAGAACGCCATTGAAATCTCTCATGGAGCTGTGGAACACGTCCCGGAATCTTGAATCTCTTCCCACAAACTCCACAGCGTTCATCCCGTGAGCTCTGTTGAATGGAATCCCTCCTTCAAGAACAGCATCTTTAAGGGTGTACCTGTCAGGGAAAACGACGTCTGTTACAGATCAAATTCCTTATCTTTCCAAACACAAGTACTCTGTTCTTACCATATATCGATCACGGCCTTGTCCTGAAACAAGTTCAACATCGGAGCTAACGACCCTTCATCTCGGTTCCTCGTGAAGTACTTAGAAACTGGACCCAGTCCATAAACTGTACAAGGCTCGCCATCATCGTAATCCACCGAAACAGAGCACCTGACAATGGAATAGCTCGCAAGGCATCGAAGAATCCGATCGATCGAACTGGCATCGGGTTGATGCTGTGTCTGAACGGCCAAGCGAGAAGCGATCTGTGAAGCAGAGAGGAAAGAAGCAGGTCCAGATTCTGCTATGATGTCGAAGAGACCGAGATCTGTTGCTGTCTTTAAAACCATCGGAAGAACAGAGGAGCTCACCAGTTGCATGGCGTACAATGCGTGGCTTTGTTCTTCATCCATTTTTTGTTTTTCAGATGATTCTGGATTCTGAATCTGAACGAAAAAGGGTTTTGAAGATTCAGATTTTAGGATGCGGAGGTTGCAGAATTTTCCTTGGTGAATACTAGTCAAAATTTGTATTTTTTTTTTCTGAATATTAGTGGATGGTGACGAAAGTTGAAACATTACCATTGAGAAATTCAGACAAGATTACTGATTATTTTCCTCTTTTTTATCTTTCCAGAACACGAAAAGAATGAACAGAACATCTAGATTGACTGAAGAGACAGAACAGAACAGTTTGCAAGAACAGGAACAAAAACAACAACAAAACAGAGCATCTCAGAACTGTTTCCAGGATCTGGGCTCTCTTTATTACCAACGGAATCCAATCCATGGCGGTGAAAGATCAAGATCAGTACCAGAGTCAGGGGAGAGAGAGAACAGAAAAGAAGAAGAAGAGATTTCTGTTGCGAGACAGGAACTTAATGAGAAGAGGCTTTGAACAGGTCCAAGCAAGTAACGTTAGCAAGTCCTCTGTTCCAGAACCTGTCGTAATACTCGGAATAGGAGAAACTCCTGTAAACGGAAGGAGAGAGATCGGTGATAAGCTCATCCGCTGGTCCGACGACGGCATCCGGTGAAGGACAGTAAAAGGTAGGGATCGATATACGCTCCTTCTCGCTGTTCACCACCGCCCTGTGGAGCACACTCTTGTATTTGTCATTGCTTATCACCTGTTTATTCAACAAAAAAAAACAAATCAAAAGAAGAAATCTTATTGTTTTTGAATGCTTTTGCAGCTTCCCCACTTGCAATCGCAATAGGGCTGTCCCGATGTATCGATGTCGGGGGGAAAGAGAAGCGGACTGACGAAGGAGCAGCAGCCCGGGAGGCGGGAGGTAGGGGCGGGTGTTTCGCCTCGAGAATTTAGTTATGAGACAGAACCAAACCGAATAATATTCGGTTCTAATTTGTTACATTTTTTTATAACCATTAAATAATTCTCGGACTAAACTCGATCGATAAATAACGAATAACGAGTAAAAACCTTAATTATCCACCCTTATGTATAGATATATGTGTAAATATAAAGTTAGGGTTCTTATTTGGTACTTATATAACGATGTCATACCAGACCAAACCGACACGAATATTGAACTTAATCAAAGCGATTAACATTTGGTTTTAGTTTGATATAATTTTTATATAAATCGGATAAACTGTTCCGAAACCGAGCTAGAAAAATATCGAACCGAGGCCCGAGACGCCCACCTTTGAGAAAGTGCAGGCCGAGAGCTCAGGAGCGGGAACGGGTCGACAAAATTAGGGTTAGGGTTTGGGTTGGGTTGTTTGGTTTTATTCTTAATTATGTTCTAAATATAGAGGCTTATCGTTAATAAAGTTGTCAAAGAGTTTTAATTAGAAAAGTGGGAGACTGAAAATACCTTTGGATTATATTCAACGTTCGTTAAGTTTATGAAAAAAATCACTACAATAGACCCCTAGGGATTTTTATCATCACTATCGTTATATGATCAAACACTTTAACCATGAGAACCCTAAAAGGAAGCTCCGACACTTACCTGCATCTGATCACCAATATTGACGATGAAGGTGTTAGGGACAGGATGGACAGAAACCCACTTGCCATTCCTAAAGACCTGCAGACCAGACACGTCATCTTGAAGGAGGACAGTGATCAGATTAGGATCTGTGTGACCAGGGAGTCCGAAAGTGAGCTCGGGCTGCGGACATGGCGGATAGTAGTTGATGGCCATATGCTGTCCGTGCCCGCCCAGCTTCTTCTCCACTCCATCGCTCGAAAGCCCTAAGCTCTCGGAAATGGCCTCGAGCAGATCCAGCACGAGCTTTCTCACGGCCGTCGAGTATTCTGCAACTGTGTCTCGGAAAGAAGGAGGGCTCGAGGGCCATTCATGGCGGAATTCTTCGAGTGGATGGCAGTGGAGACGGAGGAAGTCCCTCCAGTTGGAGACTTTCTCCGAGTTAACGTTGAAACTCGTGGAGAGTCTTGTCGTCTTCGTCGTGTCGGCTGTGTAATGTCGCAGCCTCTCGCTTTCGGGTTGTCTGAAAAACTCTCTCGCTACTGTTAGCATGTTGGAGACTGTTGTCTCTGGAACTCCATGGTTCTTTATCTGAAAACATATTTATATGAAATGTGTAAACGTTTTGATTGAGATAATTCAACACGTACAGTATGTTGAAACGATATCTACGTTATGGAGATTGTGTAAATGCATGCATGATTAGGGGCGTCAAAACGAGCCCGGCTCGCGAACTGGTTCGTGGCTCGTCAGAAAACGAGCGATTTGAGCCGTAATTTTTTTATCTCGTTAAAAAACGAGCCTAACGAGCCAGAACTCATTGAACACGTATTCAATGAGCATGGTTCGGCGAGCTGCTCAACGAGCTGATATTTTTTTTAAGAATAAATTAAATCTATATAAAAAACTCTAATATAATTTTATATTAATTTTTTTTATATTATTTATATGATATTATAAATATACTAATTATTATGATGATGATAATTGAAAATATTAAATAATATTGGTGTTTTATTAAATTTTCATGTATTTATTTAAATTTATAATTATATTTAAAATAAATATAAATAAAAAATATTATATATTCCTGGCTCAACGAGCCGGCTCGTTCAGATCGGAAAACTGGCGAGCGATCTGAGTCGAGGTTTTTCCGTCTCATTAGAAAACGAGCCTAACGAGTTGAGCCCAAAACGATCCGAACCAAATGAACTGAACCCAAAATGATCCGAGATGATTCGTTTGATACCTCTATGCATGATGAAACCAAGTTTTATACAGCGGTAATGTCATGTCATCGCTGAAAAATTACATACAGATACATGTATGTATGTATGTATTCAACAGAAGCATTCGCTGAAACACGAGGTAAAATTTCATCCACGTTGAGAGATGGACGGTTATTTAGAATCAGGTGATAAAATTTGGTTGGATGTAATTTTTTTTATTTTAAATTAATTCGTTTTTAAGGGAAATAATTGACAAAAACAAATACATTTTTATGAATATAAAAAATCAAATAAATATAGATTTTTTTAAAAATAAATATGTTTTGGTTGGAAATAAAATGAATCAAATTAAAATAGAATCCAACCGAAAAATCGCTATAGAAATCGATTTTACTATTTTTAAAATAAAAAAAAAAATAAAACCGAAATATAATTAAACTTGTAAATCAGAAATAATTATAACCCCGAAAACCATAAAATATGACGCAATAAACCGCTAAAATTACGCTAAATAAACATTAAAAAAAGGAGAATGAAACGGGAGAACCTGGAAAAAGCCATAAGAGTGGCATGCATGAGCAAGCTGAAGAACAACATCGGTTCGACGGGATCCATGGAGTTCCCGGAGATCGATCAGAGGGATCGAATCGCCGGAGTTGTCGGCCTCCGACAGGGTTGGACGGTCGGAGATTGGTCGGACGAATTTTTCAGGAACATGATCCACGGCTGAGGCAAGGTCTGTTACTAGAACCATCGTTGCACCCCTTCTAAAATGTCACCTATAATATAATATACACACATGCACACATATATATATATATATATATATATATATATATATATCGGTAAACACTTGCATTATGGTTGATGTTGTCCCTCGTTGGTACTGTCCACATGTATTGTTTCCTTATTATACTATGTTGAGTTATTTAATATAAGATAGATTCTTTTCTATTTTCAAGACACATAAGGTATAAAATGATCTCCAAAAAATATTTTTATCTCTACTTGGTTGGCGGTGATCCACAGTTTTCCAATTTAATTATCGATAAACTATATTATATGGGAACTTCGATTTAATCTTCAACCAGACCCACATGGACCGATTTCGTTTTCCCATATTTGCCGGTGTAGACAAATAATAAAAAATCAAAATAATTAAATTAAACACGTGGATTGAACCAATCAAACAAAGCAGTGTGGTCTAGAAGAACAAAAAAATAAAATGACGTCAGAATGGTGACATCATCATTTGCGAGTCAGCGATGACGTAAGCGTAACTATAGAGAAGTAGTTGGGTCCTTCCAGAAGGTTCTTCTGTGATGACGTCAGAATGGTGACCTAATAAAACATGTATTAGTTAAAATTAATTAAAAATTGTTTAGTTTCATTGACTCGTCAATTCTTTACTCCTTTAGACGAAAAGGTTTACGTATGAACTAAAATATTGGTTTCAATATCTAAAATCTAAAGGGATTAAAAATGAAATTTGATTTTAAAATTAATTAAAAAAATTTTTTAATGTCAAATTTACATAATTGAAAACTGAACTCTCATTACAAATAAATATAAAAATATTGAAAATAAATAAATTTCACTTTATTGGTGAAAATTTTCAACGCTCGTCTTAAGACGTTGAACTTCGACGTTAGGTCAATGGGAGGTGAGAGCCATCTCTGCTGAGTTGGGGAAGCAAGGCCCAGTAAGATAATCATATAGCCCTATTAGATTTTTCTATTAGGCCCATTAGGCCCAAATAGGATAATATAGGATGGGCCACAGAGCAGTATACCGAAGCGCTCCTTGATTTGTTCGTCGCGTTCGCAACAGGGACGAAGAAAAGCCGAAAGGGTTTTGGTACGCTGCGCTGTTGTTGCGAAGTACAGTAGAAGAAGAAGATGCCGGTTCCCGTTGCGGATGAAGAGACGGCGCAAATGCAGATCGATTCCATCAAGGAGCAGCAGAAGCTCCAGGTTCGATTTTGTTTTTTCTATCCGATTTTTTATGCCGCCGAAGTTTTTCGGACCATTTTGATTCAGTGTGGTATTGAACAGAAGGAAGACGACGTAGTTGTCGAGGAGGTGAAGGACGGAGAGGAGGAGGAAGACGACGATGACGATGAGGACGAAGACGGTTCCGATGGTATTCTCTACTCTCTCTCTCTCTCTCCCGTGTTTTGATTATTTGTTGATCACCTGTCTCGTGTGTTGGTTTGGGGACACTCTTGAATTTGCGTATGAATTCTTTGCTTTATTTTTTCTTCATATCACCTTGTATAGATTATATACAATCCTGGATCAGGCATGCGTCGTTCTTGGCTTTATGCAAACAAAGGTCTAAGAATATCTCCAAAACTGATTTGTATGAGCCATGTTATTCTGCTCAAGTTTCAGCTAGATTGCTCTGCCACATTTCCAGTAAACTCAATTTATTTCTCTTTGGTCGTGATCCTGTATTCAGATTCTAGACATTTCGAGAGTCTTTTATTTGTAACGAGGCTATCTGCTGGGTGTCAGATTTTTATCTGTTATTTTCACTTTGTGGAATGCTTCATTTCCATGGGAGATACGTTTTTGAGAATCTCCGTCCCTGGTTCTTTGTTGCCTAGGCGGACATGGAGCTGGTGGGAACGAGAGCTCCAGGCAGAGTAGAAGCGAGAAGAAAAGCCGCAAGGCAATGCTGAAGCTCGGGATGAAACCTGTCACAGATGTTAGCCGGGTTACCATCAAGAGATCCAAGAATGTAAAATTCCTTAAACATCATAAACCAGCGTTTCATCTCGCCATTATCATCATATAACATTGTTTGATCGTGACCCATTCTTGCACCCACCGCTCAGGTGTTATTTGTCATCTCGAAGCCAGATGTTTTCAAGAGTCCAAACTCCGAGACTTATGTCATATTTGGGGAGGCCAAGATCGACGACCTGAGCTCTCAGCTACAAGCACAAGCCGCCCAGAAGTTCAAGATGCCCGACATTTCATCCATGGTTCCTAACTCGGATGCCTCTGAAGCCACCGCTGCTCCACAAGCCGAGGAAGAAGACGAAGAAGATGTCGATGAGACGGGTGTCGAGGCCAGAGACATCGATCTGGTAATGACCCAGGCAGGTGTTTCTAGGGCCAAAGCCGTGAAGGCTCTCAAGGCCAGCGATGGAGATATCGTTAGTGCCATTATGGAACTCACTACTTAAAAAAGAGGGAGCAGGAATTTATTGTTGCCTAGATTTTGTTTTCCTTTTGCTTTGGGTTCATGGTCTTGGTCCTAAGACTAGCTGGTAAGGATGGACATTTCGGGTTTCGTTTCGATATTTCATGTTCGGTAAGGGAACGGATTATTCGGTTTTATAAAGATTCTACCAAACACGAACCAAATGTTAATTGGTATGGTTCAATTTTAGTAGCCGTTCGATTTGGAATAATTTTATTATTTTAATACCAAACCGAATTTGATATTAACACATATATTCGTATATAATAAAGGTAGGTGATTCGAGTTTTGGTTGGATTTTATTGGGTTTGTTACCGGGTTCGAGAACAATTTATTCAGTTTCACAGGAATTGTACCAAGTTATAATCGAGTATTATTTGGTTCATTTGGATTTACGTTTTGGTTAATTTCAAACCAAAACACCCACTTTTACTTGTCACCCTAACATTTTCTTGAGCTTTGTTAGCATGTTTTCATCTTCACTAGGGTCTTTCACAATGATTTGGTTTGAATCATAGTTAAATTGGTGAATATGAAAACCAGATTTAAAAAAAAAAAAACTTAAAATGAAAATTCTAAAATTTTCGGTCGTAAAAGTCTATAGGATTATATATAATTATGTAATATAATAGTAATATATGATATTCTAGTTTCAAAATCAGAACTCTTTAAAATTTTGGGGAAATATTATGCTACAATAAATATTAAAATAAAAAAAGTATTTACAAAATAAAAGTATATATTTATTTTTTGTATTTGTTTTCTAAAAGTTAATCTTTATTATTTAAAAAATATCTCTGGATGGGTCAAAGACAAAGATCAAGAAATTAGAGACATCAAACGGACCTAATGCATTCTATTGGGTTAACTTATTATTTCAAATATAAAGCCCATTGTTTTCTAAACGGACCTAATGTGTTTTCTTGTAAACCCTAGAACTAGGGTTTTTTTATCTTTCCTTTATATAATTCAAGAGTTGGCTTCGGCAGCATCATTTGTGCACAGACTCAAGAGGGAGAAGAGGGAGAGAACGTAGGAGAAAAGGAGAGAAGATGAAGACGATTCTCTCTTCGGAAACCATGGACATCCCCGATGGCGTGAACATTAAGGTTCACGCCAAGGTCATTGAGGTGGAAGGACCGCGAGGAAAGCTCATTCGCGATTTCAAGCACCTGAACCTCGATTTTCAACTCATCAAGGACGAGGAGACGGGGAAACGCAAGCTGAAGATCGATGCCTGGTTCGGCTCTCGCAAGACCAGCGCCGCCATTCGTACTGCCCTCTCCCATGTGCAGAATCTCATCACCGGCGTCACCAAGGGTTTCCGCTACAAGATGCGTTTCGTCTACGCTCATTTCCCCATCAACGCTTCCATCACCAACAACAGCTCTGCGATCGAGATCCGCAACTTCCTTGGAGAGAAGAGGGTTCGTTCTCTTCTCTCTCTCTCTCTTCTTTCGTTTTCTGAATCTGGGTCTGCTTGATTTTTCTGCTCTAGGGTTTAACAGGTTTTATAGTTTTATTATATATGGTGAGATTATATTCAGATTCAGCGTGCTTCTTATTGATTAGACGAGAGGACAAACCCCGGAACTTGATGTTTTACCTTGATTTGTTTTGCTAGTTCGGAAAGTGTTTATACAGTGGATTATTCATTTGCCAGATTAGCCATGGAAATTGTTCAAATGTTTGCTCTTTTGGTTGTTTCGATTAGTGTTTGACGATTAACCATGAAAATTGTTCATTCCAACCTCATTTGACTATTACGATGACCTACTGTTTTGGCTTCATTTGAACAACAGGTCAGAAAGGTGGACATGTTGAATGGCGTGACCATTGTCCGTTCTGAGAAGGTTAAGGACGAGATTGTTCTGGATGGAAATGACATCGAGCTTGTCTCAAGGTCTTGCGCCCTCATCAACCAGGTACCATTTTCATCTGTTCAGCTTTGTTTATCATTGCCTTTCTAAACCTGTGAACTGTTCTGTTGGTGGAAAGATTTTGATCATGGCCAATAGATTTAGATATGTCTGCTTATTTCGGTATTTGGGTCTGGTCTAACTACATTGTATCCGGCCACGAAATAGGGATTGTGGGTATATCGGGTGTTTACCGAGCTTTTTGTGTTTGTGGTTGTTTAGAAATGTCACGTAAAGAACAAGGACATCCGGAAGTTCCTTGATGGTATCTACGTAAGTGAGAAGGGCAGGATCGTGGAAGAGGAATGATTTTGTGGCCATCAACCTGAAAATGATATTTTCATGATAGTCTCATCTCTCTCTCGTTTTGATGTTAGTTTATTGTCTTTGGACAGAACGTGTTGCGTTCTTTTTGTTCTCCGTTGTGATTCTGTTGAGAATTTATTGCTTCGGTTCCGGAAAAGTTTTGGAGACATACATACATCCTCGTATTACCGTCATTTTTTGTTCGGAAGTGTTCTTGCCACCTTGGAGTTACGTTGGCTACGTGTGCTTATTCGGGCCGGTCAACGTAAGTAGCCAACGGAACTCCAAGGTTACGTTAGCCTTGAATTTCTCGGCTCAAATAAAAAAAGACTTGACGAGTTGAGGAGTTGGTTCGGAACGATCTGATCGGATCTAGTCCGAACTGTCTCGTTTGACCTCTCTATTCCCCGCTCGAATGGTAATGGATGGTGTGAAATATTGTAGTCCTAAATTAAATTTGATGTGCCATTGATTCTACTACCACATCAACGCTACATTATTCAATTTGTCTTGTCAAAAATTGAATAATATAATAAATATACAAAATGCACATATACACCTGTCTTGTCATAAAAATAAAAGCAAACATTAAATAATATAATACATATGCATAATATATACATATACGTGTGTGTGGGTGTGTGTATGTAACATATATGTATATCAGTATATCTATCGATAAAATTTTGTCCACGTTATAGGAAATTATCACCGATTTTAGGAGATAGACTTATTTTCTTGGTATATTTGAATATTTTATATATCTATTCGTCAAAATAAAAATTGGCATAGGTTTTTCATTTTTGTAAGAATTTGACAAGCTATTGTGGAAGGTCAGTTCCCTGTTTATCGTTCCTCCTGGTTCCGTGCTATTGTGGAAGGGGCTTGTGATGAATTGCATTGGATTCTATATGACAGGCTGGGTTTGCTGGTGATGATGCTCCAAGGGCAGTCTTCCCGAGCAATGTGGGTCGGCCAAGGCATGCCGGATGGGACAGAAAGAGGCATATGTCGGAAACGAGGCCCAGTCCAAAAGAGGCATTCTTACCTTGAAGTATCCGTCGAACACGGGATTGTCAGCAACTGGGATGACATGGAGAAGATCTGGCATCACACTATAACGAGCTTTGTGTTGCTCCTGAAGAACATCCCGTTCTCCTTACCGAAGCTCCTCTCAATCCTAAAGCTAACAGGGAGAAGATGACACAGATCATGTTCGAGACTTTTGATGTCCCTGCCATGTATGTTTCCATTCAAGCTGTGCTTTCACTCTATGCCAGTGGCCGTACTACGGGTTAGTGCATTCTCATTTTCCACAATGCTAGGGATATGTATTTGATACATCTTTGTAATTTTGATTTCGTTTCGTTCAGGTATTGTGTTAGATTCAGGTGATGGAGTTAGTCATACAGTGCCATGATAAGCCACTTCAAGCGTTGGTGAGGAGAGCATCGAGGAAGAAGACGACTTGTGGCAGAGAATATGGAAGCAACAGAACATGGGCATGTATTTCGGTTGGTGTTATTATTAATTACCTATAGATATATATGTCTGTTTGTATAGGTTTGCAGGCCATATCATTAGCGTGTTACTCGGATGGCTATATAACTATCTCTTTTGTTTTTGGAGAGGGGATCTGAAATCTGAAGAATATTGTGATTTGGGAGGTTAATAGAGAGTGGTGTTCCTCTCTAAACCTTGGTGGGGAATGGGGAGTGGTGTTCCTCTCTAAACCCTGGTATTGTTTCCTTTCTTTCGGTATTTTCTTGATACAATCGGTATTTCTATTACAAGGTTCTATCATGCCAATCTATGAAGGCTATGCTCTTCCCCATGCCATTCTCAGGCTTGACCTAGCTGGGTGTGATCTTACCGATGCTTTGATGAAGATCCTTACTGAGAGAGGTTACTCGTTCACCACAACCGCTGAACGAGAAATCGTGAGAGCATCAAGGAGAAGCTTGCATACGTGGCATTGGATTATGAACAAGAGCTTGAAACTGCTAAATCCAGTTCCGCGGTCGGGAAGAACTATGAGCTGCCTGATGGTGAGGTGATCACCATTGGAGCAGAAAGATTCTGCTGCCCCGAACCCGAAGTCCTCTTTCAGCTATCGCTTATCGGAATGGAAGCTCCTAGAATTCATGAGACCACTTATAACTTATCATGAAATGCGATGTTGATATCAGAAAGGATTTGTACGGTAACATCGTGCTCAGTGGTGGGTCGACAATGTCTCCAGGAATCGCTGATCAAATGAGCAAAGAGATCTCGGCCCTCGCACCAAGCAGCATGAAGATTAAGGTGGTTACACCACCAAGAGAAAGTACAGAGTTTGCATCGGAGGTTCTATATTGGCTTCCCTTAGCACATTCCAGCAGGCAGCAGGTATGAACACTGATCGACTTTTCTCATTTATGGAAAACTTTAACCAACCAATATGTCAATGATTCATCGAAAGTAACTGATGTGATTATCTTATCCTGATTGAAGATGTGGATATCAAAGGCAGAGTACGAGGGATCAGAGCAAGCCATTGTCCACAGGAAATGCTTCTAGGACAACGTCTGTACTGACCTTGGCATTACATATCTGCGGTTTGTGGTTTTTGGCTTGTCACGTCTGAGTGTGAGTGGAACACTGATAATGAATTTGGTTTAAGCTTGGGTTGTTTTAGTTTTGTTCCTCCTTGAAACCTTGTTTAAACATCTTCGGTCCTGTTCTGTTCTTGTATGTAGTGAAGAAAAATGCAAGTTGTTTGGTGTGTAGCTGTATATAAACCTTCACTGTTGCTATTAGACTGTGTTTTGGATCTTGAGCTTGATTTTTCCAGTGTATTGAAACTTCTGGATCCCAAGTGTTTCTCCTGCACCACAGCAGGAGCCAGGTAGAGTTTAAGGGGCATTAACAGTTTGCCTAAGCTGGAAACAGAGATGTATTTCCACAAGTGGAAAGCTTACAGATGTTGAGAATGAGTATTTAAAAAAGAAACAAAACTGGGGAAATCACTAAGCTGCATCTGCTGTATCGTTTCCAGGAGTAGCCGTTGTTGCCTGGGAATTTTCAGCTTGCCCTGTGACCATGGAGGGGATGAGGACAAGGCTGCGGCAAACGGGGCAAGATAAATGGGAAGACAACCACTGCTCGATGCATCTAACATGGAAACCATGGTTACATCTTGGCAGTACCTTCACTTCTTCTCCTTCCTCGAACTTTGACAGGCAAATTGTACATTCTCTCTCTGCTCCTGCAAGTTTCAGCCCTGCAGAATACTTCACAGTGGGAACTATCTCCAGAAGCCGAGAAGCAGCTGCATTAGTTTCCGGCTTCTGCTGGTCAGGCTCTTGCTGAGTGAGTGAATGAGCTACCGATCCTCCCCTGCGTAGGAAACAACGAATGGCTGTGCCGAGGCTCATAGCACAGACAACGAAGGAAAATAGGATGATGATGATTACGGATGCATTGGCTCCAGCTTCGGTCGAGCTCGAGTAAGGCTTCCACCTTCCACAACTTTGCAGGTAACATGTTTGTGTTTCGTTTGAGAATCCCGGTTCTCCGTTGTTAATTGGTGGAGATAGGTGACTGAGGTTCTTGGCTGCTAATGAAGCTAGTTTCCGCATTTTGTTAGTGATCTTCTCGATGTTTTTATGATAATTCTCAGCTTTACGTGATCCCGAAGGTATCTTCTAGCTTTTCCAGATGCTGATGATGGTTCTAGTGAGAGTTTGATTATGGAGATAGAGAGATGGGGAAGTAGAGGTTATATATTGAGATGGAGATGAAGAGTGGAAAACATGCATTGGAGCATATGAAACATAACGTCTGGCTTATCTTTATAACTGTCACTGATGTTGTTATTGCAGAACTGGCTTGGTGGGTTATGTCTGTGTTTCAGTCTACTTAAATGCAAAGAAGCAGCAGAAGAAGAGGGCATCTAGAGAAATCATCAAGGGTGGGAACTGATACTAGAAGAACACGTGTCATTCTGGATAACCAAGAATTATACAAGGAAGAAGAGCAACGTGATAATGATGGGTTTCGATCCAAGGCCACACAAGTACATATTCCATTACTCACAACTAAAACTTGCCTTGCCATCAAGGTAATCTCACCTCCTATTTATGGATGCTTCATCTCTCTCTCTCTCTCTGTCTATGTATATATGTGTTTGTATGTATATTTATACGTATATGTATGTATGTATGTATGTATGTATGTGTGAAACAAACAACTCTAAGAGCATAATCGACAAATTTAGCTGAGAGGGATCGATACGGTGATGTGGGACAGGGGAAAATCTGACAGAATTCATTCTTATCTGTATAAAGTATGGTCCATTCATGATTCCTTTACATAAGAACAAGGAAAAGGACAGGGGCCCCCTCTAATAACTTGTACAGTCCAAAGACATGGGACCACGTGGAAATCTTGTTTGTTTCACCATGACTAGGCGTAGTTTTTAGATAGCTCTTTGCTATGTCTTTTTTGAAAAATCGAAGAAAAGGCTTGCATGGCAAAGCATAAATATAAATATAGAAGTGGGGACGGTAATTCGACCCTGAAGAGCTCTTTTCAACTGTGTTACATTCTTTTTACTGAGATAAAAACCAAAACTTGTTATTAATATGTTCGTTGGTTTGTCCTGATCTCTGCTCTTAAACGCCTGAAAGTTCACAGACTTGGAATTGCAGAGCTTGTTGATGGACATGTAGCTCTGATAATACTGGACAGGGAGAGAAATTTTGGTCGAATATCAGGAAAATTTAGGAAGGGGAGCATTGGTGCACCAGTTAAGCTGTTACCGTTGTGATCTAGAGGTTATGGGTTCGAGTCCTAGAAACAGTCTCTTGAAGAATATTTTGCAAGATCAGGTTTGTCTACAATATGCCTTTGTGGTGAGATCTTTCCCGAATCTCGTTCAACGAGATGCTTTGTGTACTGGACTGTCCCTTTATCCTGAAAATTTAGGTAATCCAGATTCATATATGAAGGTTTCGTTTATTACAATTTGATATACTTCTGCTTGTATCCAAGGGTTTTGGCTATGTAGATTATGGATATTGGAGAAAATGTTGGGTACACCTGACCTGAGTGTTGGAAAGCGAAAATTATCTAGAAAAATATAGATTTGTAACACAAAAAAGGCGTAATAACAAGTTATACAAGCTGTGTATTACGGGTCGGATAATGAAAATTAATAAGGTTATGTATTTTTTGGGTTTCTGTCCAACTATAGACAATTAGACATACTATTTTTGGTTTTTGTTTCATCTGCTCAGAGACAGAGTGGAGAGACACTGATGAAGATACAAAAGCGCAAGGAGCGGGATTGATGAGATGGAAGAGCCGTATTCTTGACCTCGACCACGATCCCATTTCTCAGGAACCTTCCAACTAGTTAGTTTCCTCGTACCTTGGAACTCCCCCTGTTTTCCTGTCCTAATTATCATTGTTTCGGAAGACCGATGCTGGGAAAGGGAGTTTATTTATTTACAAGGTTTCCAACTGGAAAGAACAATTAGGGAGGAACACATCCCGTCTTGTCTTCTATCTAACTCTTGTCTCTCAATATGAAATTCTGCTTGGGAAGAATCTCCTCAAGAGACACGTTTTCTGCTCTGTTAATTTCGTATACTTTTCTAATTTCGCCAAGTTTGATTCCTCCTCTGTATCTCCATAAGTACAGACTATAGGTATCGACCCCTTTCCGTTGAATGCAGAGAAGTTGAAGCATTGAAGAGGATTACATCAATGGCATTGTGGTCACATCAGTCAATTTGGCATTCGATGGTTCTCTCTCTTGGTTCGGAGGAATTTCGAACAGAGGAGAGAGAGAGACGTAATGGGTCACCACGAACCACGCCGGAGAACCATCCGAAGGAATCAAAATCTGGGCTTTGTGGGACGAGGAGAGTAGCTGTTGATGGAGAAAGACGAATTAGGGTTTGTCACAATTTTGTTTTTAGTTTTCATGGAAGGGTGATGTGGGAACAACGTGTGTAGAGCGTGTGACTGATGATGCTCTTTTTGTAAATGGGTTAGATTCAGATCGCAACGTTAAGCTCCTTTGCCGTTTGAGCTTTGTCACCGAACCCTCCCTTCTGCGCTCTCGACGTGACGAGAGACAACACCCACTCCTTTCGAATTCTCTCTTCTTCTACCCTCTCCAATCCTTTAGGGCTTCTGGGTTCGTCGGATTTGAATCTCTCTTTCATACCCAGAAATCCGATCTACCCGAGATCGACCATGGTGGTCGAGGATGAAGTCAAATGGGTCGTGGAGCATGTAAAGGAGCTTCAGGATTCTGCCTCCTCCTTCATCTCCTCCTCTTCCCAGGAGGAGCAATCCCTCCGGAAGAGATCCTCCGCCCTCGACGGCTCCATCCGCCGCCTCCGCTCCACCATCCTCTCCCTTCTCTCCGACAAGCGCCTCGATCCCAAGCTCGCCGAGAAGGCATCTCTCTCTCTGCCTCTCTCTCTCTCCCTTCTCTAATTCGTTTCCTCAATCGTTATTCCTTCTTCTCTTCCTGCAGCTGGAGGAGGATTTGCAGCGGGCGAGATGCATGCTCGCCGATGGAGATGCCTCCGCCTTTCTTCCCGCCAAACGTCAAGGTTTCACTCTCTCGGATCAGTTCGAGTGTCTTATCTCAGATTCAATTTGATTTTGATTCAATCGCATCCGGTAACTGGGTTGATGATCGAAGCAGGACGGTTCCTGAGAATGTTTTTGGGGCCTGTGAATGTTCGAGCCTTGGGTAAGGACATCCAACTCAAAGTCAAAGAAGAATACAATAGCTACAGAGTTAGTTCTCCACTTCTCTTTTTCTGCATTGCACATCAGACTTCAGATAATTATCACCACAATCACGCATGCCTTTTCAATGTTAGATCATCGGAATTATGTTGTCAATTAATCTCAGTGAAGTCTCTGCGTTGTCCAGTCTAATAAGATTGTGCTTGTTTTCCATGGAGCAGGATAGAACTGCTCTTCTTTTCCTTGTTTTTCCTGCAACCCTTTTGATTCTTAGATCTTGGTTGTGGGATGGATGTTTGCCCGCATTCCCTGTTCAACTGTACGAGGTATACCAAGGGTTGATGGTTTGATGTCTTATTATTTTGAGTTACTTAGCATTGTATATGTTTGGGTTTCCTGACATGTAAAACCCCTTTTTCCAGGTTTGGCTGTTGTTCCTCTATGCTGGTTTGGCTATGCGAGAGAACATATTGAGAGCCAATGGGAGCGATATCCGTCCATGGTACTTTTAAGCATCCTTCTTCTGTTTATTACACTTGTTATGATCTTTTTAGTTTCCTTTTACTTTATATTTCTTTTTCCTACTTTTAAGTAGCAATACAGCTTGATCTGCAGAACCGAATCTGTTAACAACATTGGTCTAGAGCTTGAGTTTTCTAGGTTGTGCATCTGTTATGCTGCATGTCTTGTCCATTTCTCCAAGAGTAAAGGCCATCTCTATTCTGCTGGTTCCCCTGATTTTTGTTATTTTGGTCAACCAGTCTATATAATTTGGTGGGTTTTGGACCCTTTGGTTGTTGAGGGAGTTGGAAAAACAGTGATTTATATTTTGGTGTTTTGGTGTTGTTGGTCTATGAAAATTATTAGTAAATGTTGAGGATAGACTTGACAGTGAACAACTAATCGGAGTTAATTATGGCCTGTCTATGTTTAGATTCCCGGCATGTTTGGTTTCGGTTGATGGCATGGCATCGTCTCCAAGCTCTGCGAGCCGACACTATACTGTCATGTCAAACATGCTGGTTCTATTGTGAAAAGTTTATTGCACATGACTGACATGTGAAGCTGGAAGGTTGTTTTAGGTATTGAAGCCTAGAAATGTAAAAAAAAAGGTTTGGAAACAGGTTGTTCTTTCATGTTTTTAGGTAGTGATTAGATCTCTATGTCTTTTATGAGATGCCTTCTTTCCTACATAAGGAACTTTAGCCGCGCATAGATTCCTCTTTTGGTTGAGATTAGAATGGGAAGTGGTTTTTGATTGATTGAGAGAAAACTATCTCATCTGGAAGACTGGAACGATGATTCAACTTCAGTTTGTGCTGTATAGTAACTGTGAATTTGTCATAATAAACTTCGACGGTGCAGATAACTTTTTATCCTTTGGGGCTTATATGCTTTGGCAGGTGGGTTTATCATCACTATTGCGCGATGGTTATGGCCATCGTCAGCCTCTCATGGGAAATCAAAGGACAACCAAACTGTGCTCAAAAGCAGGTACAGTTTTGTTTTGTTTTTGTTTTGCGTTTTGCAGTTTATCAGTTAATAAGTGTATGTATTGTATGGCTTGAATCACTTAAATCTTCTACAGAGAGGAGTCCATCTTTTCTTGCAATGGGCTATGATGCAAGGTGTGGCAATGCTTCTACAAAATAGATACCAACGCCAAAGATTATATACCCGCATAGCACTAGGAAAGGTGGCCATATCATACACACTTCCTTTTCAACCCAACTTTTATTAGTCCTCATGGAATGGCTGTTAACAGGTTCTGTTATCATTTTCAGGCTAAGAGGATGGATGTTGTATGGGGAGAAACGGCCGGAGTTGATGGACAAATATGGCTATTGTGTCCTTTACTGTTCATTTTGCAGGTGAGCTTTCTCCACACACAGCTCTGCGAATTTATTTCACGGGATCTATGCTTTATCACCTTAGTGTTAGATTAGCTGGTGATATTATGTCATTATTATCTTGTTCTACTGTGAACATTGCATGGCTTTGGACTTTCATTTCGGGGAACCATTAAGTTTTAGATGCCATTTGTTAAGGATAGATTTTCGCAGTTGTTTGAAGACATTGAATAAGTACTAAAAAAATTCAAGATATGCACTATACAGTGAGATCGTTGACAATGTTCTATGGTCTAAATATCATTGGACACTCCCACCAGACAAAAAGAAATTTTGCTCGCACATTGTGCTGCTTTGGTTGAGGTTGTCTGTTTGTATGTGGGGGCTGAGGATAATAAAGCCAATGCATTGGGCTATAACATGTTTATTCTTTGGGGAATCCTTAGGGTTTCGAGGCATACGTTGGACTGATGTTGTTCAGGGCAGCATTATATGGAGTTGTCCCTGAGTGGCAGGTATGGTATTGCCCCTCTGTTTTGCTACTTTTCCATGCGCAAGTTGATCTTTGACAAAATCAGTGATTATAATTGAAAATTCTGGTTCAAATGGTAATGGAGGAGAAGTTCATGGAATAGTAAGTTGTAAAGATAACCGAAACTGGAAATTGCCCGTTTTGCCATTCAGTTTCTAGCTAGTATCATGTCCCTGTCTCCGAGTTCTACCATGATAGAATTTCGGGCGCTATCGCAATTTTTCTTTTTATTAACTAGTCTGAGTTACCCGGGCTATCATGGCAGGTGATGTTTTGTGGAATTCTTCTAGTGGTGATGGCAGTTGGGAACTTTGTAAACACTGTCGAGACGCTGATGGCAAAGTCGAGGTTCAAGGCAAAGATGAAGAGAAGTAAGAGCAAGCAAGATCTCTTTTAGACTTCCAAACTTGTAGGATTAGTCTTTTTTTTTACTGAGCTTTCGATAGTTTTCTGATGGGAGAATTCCATTTCAACTGTGACCGCTTGTGGGTTCCAGAATTTGATCCTCAGGTGCTGATGCTGTTTAAAACAAGTTTGTATCTTTTGAATCTTATGCCCATCTTGGATTCCAACCTCTACATATATATACACACTCACATTCAGGTCAATGGATGGTTTTTTTTTCTTCTTGTTTCTTTGCATCTTTCTTGGGTTGGGGGTTTGATTATATGGTTCAATGATCAATCAAACCGGGTGTTCTTCTCTATCTCTATTTGATGCTTGAATGTTGATGCAGATTCAAAGTGAAAAAAAGGGTCATCATGAATCAATTGGCATCTCACTTGTTCTTGCATTTTTGGGCACTTGGTGCCATTTTGTGTTGCCTCTGTGATACTGTGAAGCGCTGTGTGGACAAGAAAACAGAGAGGAGATGGAAAGGGCAAAATACATGTGAGCAGAGACCAAACACAGTGCAGAAGGGCTGTAACTACAAGAAGGCAAAGAGGGAAAGTGCAAGTGCATGTGGGGGATAGGAAATTGGCTCATGTTCTTGTTATTTGGGTTTTTTAAAAAATAAAAAGAAACCAACAAAGGCCACATGGGTAGGACAGACACCCCCATGGCATATATACATACATATATATATATATATATATATAAAGATTCATATATTTATTTTGCACGTTCACAAGCTGTAGACAAAAACTCGTGTTTGATAGTTGTCAAAAGGCAACCAAAGTGGAACACTTGCGGCAAAGCAATCTCTCCTCCCCTCATTATTACTCCCTTCCCCTTTTCCGCGTTTTTTAACGCTTCTTTGCCCTCTCATCATGATTTTAGAAATTATCTTATCTCATACGTGAAATTTAACTCTTTTTTTTTATAAAGTGAAATTTAAATCTTTAAAAACGCAGTTTCGTCCTGTTTCATAAATAAAAAAATGTAAAGAACAATATATATATATATATATATATATATATATATAATATTGAACCATACTATAATATACAAGCGACGAGAAATAT